CCTTGGATAGCGTTGATGTCGTAGGGGACTCCTTCAAGATTTGGATCGTAGGCCGGTATCATATAATTCAGGCACGCATGTCCTTCGTGGCCGGCCTCTCCACAAGACCCGCATACTTCGGCCATCACCACTTGAGTCGACTTGGCATCCCTTAGCCGGAGTTGTTTGAGTTCTTCTTCTAACGAGGCAAGCTTGTCAAGAACGGCATCGTTTGAGGACCCGGTAGTTTGTGTAGCCTCATTAACGGGGGCCCTCTTACGAACGCTCTTCCTTTGTGAATTCTCACTCAACATCTTATAAAGATTATAGATTTCCTCCTCCGTGTGGCTCCCTATGTCTCCACCGGCCGCATGATCGACCATGTATTGAAGAGTTTGGTGGAGACCATCGTAGAAGAAATTGGTTGAGCACACCGAGACAAAAGTGGTGATGTGGGCATTGGAGTTGATAGCCCTTGAATCGTTCCCAAGCCTCGTGGAAAGTCTCACCGATATTTTGGCTAAAGCTAGCCATTTGAGTCCGGAGGTCGGTGGTCTTTTGATGAGAGTAGTACTTGCTCATGAACTTTTTGTAGACGGCTTCCCACGTGTTGAGTGAACTCGGAAGCAATGTCATGAACCAAGTCTTGGCTCGGTCTTTCAATGTGTACGGGAAGCATCTCATCCGGAGTTGATTCTCGGTTAGGCCTTGGAGTGGGAATGTGTTGACGGTTGCATAGAAGTCTCGGATGAAGTTGAGAGCATCCTCTTGAGCTAGGCCGTAGAATGATGGGAGTTGATTTAGGTGGATGGTCTTGAGGTCGTAGTTTCGGGCCGCCTCCCCGAGCACGAGGCACGAGGTGTTGTCTCCAATAATAGGTCGTGCAAAGTACCTCATGTTCGGGGGAGGTGGTGGTGGCAATTGGTCTTCTTGTCCCGCCATTGATTCGGTTTCGGGTTCCGGTTGTGCTTCCTCGATGATAAGCTCAACGAAGAGATCGAACGGTTGTGTCTCCTTTACGGGTCTACCTCGTCGTCTACCTCGCATAAACACCAACAACAACTATACCCGTGAACGCACGAATGTGAAACAAGGTCAAACACAAGCAACAAAAACAAATAAACGACAAAAAGCAAGAGAAATAAAGAGAAACACGGAAATTAACCAAGGTTCACAAAAATCAAGAGAAACACGAGAAAAATAGACAATCAAATAGCAAACTAGGCGTCCTACTTGCCTTCCCCGGCAACGGCGCCATTTGTTTAGTATAGATATGATGGGCAAGGGATGACCGAGTTATCCGACTCGGGTCGATCTCGAAGGAAGGCTATTCGGAGCTTTATTTACTAAATGATCGTCCAAATCACAAAAAGGGAAAATAAAATCCTAAACATTCTAAGCAATTGATTGGAAGGGTGATTAACACTAATTGAGCACTTAAAATGAGCAATTAATTAAAAGCAAGATCAAATGACGAGCAATTAGCTAACTAGATCACCGGAGTCTCATGCCTTAACCATAACGGGATGATAATCAATCGACATACGGAATAAACGAGCTACGAGCATTAGATTGCTAACCCTAGTCGTCTAACCGAGATCAACAAGTAATTAACGACTCTATCTACTCAAGCAAGCAATCAAGTTCAAGCATTTCCACCATCATCAATCAAATCCAATTTACTCTAATGAACATTATAAGTAAAACCGGAGCAAAAACGAAGTAACGAGCTTTAAAACTAAATACTCAATCTCCCATTGCGTAGACGATGAAAAACGGAGTCAAAAGCTCGAAACTTGAAAGGAACCGAAGTCGCCGGAAAATCTCCCAGAAAATAGCATAAGCTCATAATCTAGAGAGCAAAATAGAACATAAGCTAAGAACCAAAAAAGGAAAAATGATATAATGAAAGTTGGATTCCCAAAATACAAAGGAAAAAACATATTTATAGTCTTTTACAAAAACACACACTAGGTGTACACACATTTAAAAATTTAGCACTCGCTAGGTAGCGAACTAGTTCGCTAGGCGAACTGGTCTTGTAGTTGTGCACACTCGCTAGGCGGCGAACTCATTCGCTATGCGGACTGGCCCTATGAGTCTTGTGAACACTCGCTATGCGGCGAATACGTTCGCTATGCGGACTGACCCTATGAGTCTTGTGAACACTCGCTATGTGGCGAATACGTTCGCTAGGCGAACTAGACTTTCGGCACGGTAATGACTCGATAACGGCTCGGGCGACTCGGGCGACTCGATCGACTCGGTCGGCACATCACGAAATGATTCTTCCTTCCGGGCCTACAAAACACCAAAACGCACAAGGAAGATAGAAATATATACAAAAACAACTAAAAAACGGAAAGCTACTAAAACGAACACAAAATGGACCGGAACGCACAAACCGAACCTAAAAATACTCGACTCAAGCAAATAAAAACACAAGAAAAACACACAAAAACATAACAAACATTGGGTGTGCAAACTCAATCCCACTTCGGAAGATAATAATTTTCAAGTCAATATATAAGTTTGCTGTGCTACTTGGTTTTAGAATGAAATTCCATTTAGGCTTATATGTTGGACTACATGGAGAACTGAATTTTAAATTGTTGATCCTAACAAAAATATGTGATATTCTAGCACTGGATTGGAGCCTGGAGGGGGCCATGTTAAATAACTGGAACTTTTGACATATTAATACGTATCTACTATGCTAAACATATTTTGATAGAGATTACAGGAATATATGTTCACTTGTATAATCTGGATAAAAATAAACAAGAAAAAAAAAAATGGATAGATTAGTTGAAAAAGTTTCAAGTCCCAAACACTCACTCTAGAGAAAAAGGTAAAAATGGATACAGGGAACAAGGAGTACAAAACTAAACCATATTCAACCAGAATGCATTAGCTCCAATTTTACACATTATTGACGTAAGTCCTTAACGTAATGGACAAACTAAAGTAAAATTTAAAATCTATACAGCGGAAAAATAAAATATTAGGTCTAGCATATTTGTCAACCAATAAAAATACTCTAACATGTTTACCATATTAAAAAAAATTAAATTAAAAATAAATGTTGATTGTTCAGGTTTGTACTTGAGTTCAAAATAAGATAGACCATGTCACATATGATAGACCATGTCCATTTTTTACTGCATTGGAAGACAACTTTTTTATAGATTTAAGTGTATTTCTTACATGCATGGCATGTGATATTTTTGTAAAAAAAACCCAATTTATTGTGGGTGTTCTTAATATTATTGTGTAATTAGTTAATTAGTTGAGGTTCACATATAATGTTTTGTAGTTTGCGGTCAATCACAAGCACCTTGACATATATTCTCGGTTACAAAACCGGTGGTTAGTATACGTGCGACGATGTTACGGTAAGCCGAACGACACCAAAATGCACGGTTTGACTCGGTCTTGCTCACCAAAAGGCTATTTTCAACGCATTTGCAGGCCTACTAAAATTCACTAGTATTCAACCTGTGCATTTTCACAAATATATAAATAAAATATTGTGAGTTATTTGTATACATATAATGATTAATAATTTTTGTTAAATTTACAATTAAAGGAGCTGAAATATTTAAATTTTTTAAATTGCGTTTATCATATTGGATATAATGAATATTTTGGTATGTATCTTTTTTTGTTAATTACGTATTATTTATTTAGGAATTTCAAATAGTTTTTTTATTTTTCGAAAGATGTTAATTTAAATGTAACCACAACAATAACATCTACTCACATTAAATAGTCAACACATTATA